TCTATTAAAGAGGCTACTCAGATGTTTGATGAAAAACTCACAAAGCTGTTTGAAAGGAAAGTGAAATCAGAGATGGTCATATATCAAGTAAGATGATACAGTACATCACTGCACCTCATGTCACCTTTTCAGGGGCCTATTGTGTGCAGTCACATAATTGTAGTTATGTAACAGTAACTGCACATCTAATACTTATAGATATAATTACAATATATATATTGTAATATAATTATAGGTATATTACAATAGACAATTTTGTATGTACAGGTATATTATTGCACATAATATACCTGTACATACAAAATTGTCAATTGTAATATACCTATACGTACAATATTATCAATTTGTATATTGTTATTCCTTATTTACTTATTCTATTTTTATTCTTTTATTATCTGTGTTTTGTCTTGTCACTGTCATTCTGTTGCACTGTGGAAGCTCTTGTCATGAAAACAAATTCCTCGTATGTGTAAACATACCTGGCAATAAAGCTCATTCTGATTCTGATTCAGATTTCGATTATAGATTGTGAGTTTTTATCTTTCAGGAGGAGCTCAAGATTGCAAATCTGGTTCACTCCATTCAAACCGAAGAAGAGATCCTAAGCAGAGAGAAACAGATGAGTCTTAAACTTGAAAAGGCACGAATTGTAAAGGTGATCTATAGATATTCTATCTTTTATCTTTTTTTCAGCCTTGCTGTTGTCTGTTCACAGTAACTCTATATAACGTGAGAAATTGGCAGTTATAACACGAGACAATTATAATGTTCCTGATGATGAGACAAAAATTTCATGCAAGAACAAACTTGTGTGGCACGCTGATCCGTTCCTGTGAGACTGATTGTTTTGCACGTTGAAGTGTATGAGTCACTTCTCTTTCCTGTCAGAATGAAATTGGGGAGGAATTGAAAAAACACAAGGAGACTGTTGATGAGTTTAGAGAGGAGTATGATAACACAGTCACTGAGGACAAAGTAAGATTATGAACATGTTTGCATATACATATCCATAATGTTCTCACCAAGAAAGTATAAGTTAATAAATCATTTGCCTTTTTTAAGCTTCTTGACAAAGGATTTCGCAAAGAGTTTTTTGACGTTCCAGGACACATAATTGACCAGCTCTATAAGCTTTACAAACGCAGACCAAGGTATTATTTCAGAGGAGTTACAACTTCATAAGACACGTGCATAAGACATGTGATTGTCTGACTAGTTACCTTTGAAAACAGTGATGGTGTTGTTTAACAGGGTTCAGAGGATAAAAACACAGACTGAAAATAACCAGTTTAAAGAGGGAGCACTATTAGGAACAGCACCATCTGATGGACTGTCTCTGATGATGAAGGCCATGGAAGAATTGGACGCACCAGAGAACATGCCGGAAGGATTAGATCCATTTGTGTGGGAGAGGTTTTGCCTGGCCAGACGGGCCAAAGTGGAAAGTGAACAAAAGGTGAGAATGGGTAGAGAGAGCGCAAATGTGCTAGAAGTCACCCAAATCACATCTTAAACCATGTTCCTCAAAATCCAAAATTGCCTTGTAACGTTGACTCCTGTAGGTCAAACTAAAAGCATTGACCCTGGCGGAGATGCAGGCTTTTCTTCAGAGGAGAACAGATGAGGATGAGAAAGCTCAGCTTGAAATAAAAAATCTGATTGATGAACTCAATAGGTGAGGAAACAGTTGGTTATAAAAATGAAAGCGCACTGGGTATAGGATGTTATTGAGTATCCATGACCATTATTATTATTGTCCTAGCATCTGTGAAGAAAAGATGAGGTTTCGACTAGACAGTATGGTGCAGATCGTTCTACAGCAAGGTCAGGTGGAGGTGGAGGCTGGAGACTTCATTGCTGATTTTACTAATGCTCTGCTAATACATCGCAAAGTAACTGAGGACCTCAACAGCACCATCAGGGTACACAGAATTACTCGTCTTTCTCTTAATTTCAATTTTGCTCACACTATAAATCATTATGGTCTTACTCATAATCAGTGCGCATCCATTTTAATATTGCTGATTGTTTCTGTGCATCAACTAGAAACTAAGCACAAAACGAAATCTGGACAATCATCATCAGTGGCAGTTTGTACTAGAAATAAATGAAGTGCGTAAATTGACACATAAAGACCAATAGTTGATTAAATGAAATTTAGATTATTTCAACAAATAAAAACTATTGATCAAACACAATGGCATTTTTGATAATATTTTATCACAAGAGAGTTTCAGTTATTGTTTTTATTTAAATACTGTATTCTCAATTTGAGGTTAATTTGACTTAAATGATCAAATAACTTATCTATTACATTCTTATCTGTCAGGCTTTAGGAGATCAGAAGATCGCCAGCATGGTGGAGTGTAAAGACTTCCGCAAAGGAATCATACAGCAGGAGTGGGATCACAGGAGAATGAGAATGCAGCTGGAGGATCTCAGCAATAAAGCCAGAGACATACAGACCCTGCGCATCACTCAGGAGATTCAAGATGTATGTATGGATTTAATCTGTAGTCTTTCATTTAAAGTAATATTGCTTAAAATAATCTTCATTCATTTAGTGTCTTTTACCTTACAGGTATAAGATTGACAAAGTAAGCTAGTGAAAATTGAAAAAGGATGATTTAACCGATTTAAGATAAGAAGACACTATGGCTCAGGACTACCTTTGTCTTTGCTTCAAAGTGAAATTGAATGAAATATTATTACAATTACAGATATTTCTTCCTTTGTGTTTTTCTCACATCAGTACCTAAATGAAACCAGTAATGACAACAGGGTGTCAAAGCAGCTCACAACTCTGGAGACAACCCTTGATTTACAGAAAACGGTAAACTTGCTCATAACTGTTTAAGTGCATAGCAAAGATATTAGGCACAGAGTAACTTTTCCAGACGCATATTTCTCAGCGCAGGTGTTCCTTTGTTGTAAATTCAATCTGGATGATTACATGAATCAAATTCATTGACAGATATAAAAGTTTGGTTTGTTTCACTATTTGCCCAGACTCATCAAAAGAAAGTTGAGGCTTGCAAGAAACAGATAAAGCACCTGGACAGACAAGGTGTGCAAATGCAAGAGAAGAGCGCAGCCCTCGACTTGAAAGTGGCTGACATGGAGATAACTGTTGCAGAGAGAAGAAATATTTACGAGGCTGTTGGTAACTGACTTTATATCTTGTCCCATTAAAGAAACAATTTGTTTTTTTAGCAAAAATAGACTACTTTGTAGTTTAGAGAACAAGGGGCCTTATTCATGAAACGTGAGGAGAGATTTCTATGTTAATCATTCATTAATGCATTCTTACATAGGCCTACACTACTGTTTAAAAAATATATTTTTAAAGTAATTAATACTTTTACATTTAGTCATTTAGCAGACGCTTTTGTCCTAAGCGACTTACAAACGAGGACAATGTAATAATATTTTTTCTCTATAGGGTTTCAGTAAAAAAAAACTGATGTACATATTATACATATTGTACATATTATTATTAAGCAAGGACACATTAACCTGATCAAAAGTGACAGTAAAGACATTTAAAATGTTACACAAGATTTCTATTTCAAATAAGGCAATGCAAGGCCAGGCACAGCACATTTATTTCTAAAGCACATTTAAAAACAGCCAAAGCTGACCAAAGTGCTGTACATAAATACTAGCAAAATAAAACAACACATAATAAGACTAACAAGAAAACAAAAAATAGGCGGTTTTGTTGCATAGGCATGGTGCAGCCACTGAAAAATCACCTTTTAACTTTTAACAAACGGAACCTTGGCATGGTCAGCATCAACCTAACTGAGGGCCTTAAAGGCACAATATGTAATTTTCGCTGGAGGGCGCGTATTCAAAATAAACAAAGAGGCAAAGGTGTAGTTTGATGATGCCGTGACTGAGTGTGGAATCATGGGAATTGTGGTCTTCATCCCCACAGCCGATGCAATCCGACAGGACTCGGGCAGAAAACATGTTCAGCATGTTCATGTGAAGTGCTGCGCTGTGGTGCATATATATATATATAGAATATACTGAAATAAATTAGTTTATATATTTTAAGAGAGTTACCAACGGGTATGTTTAAGGTTAGGAGTTGGCTAGGACAATAATTAAGTGTATACAATTAAACAACTACATATTTTCTTAAATAAAAATAATAATAATATACAACACCCAGGTACAATGAGTTGCAGTAATCGAGCCTAGAGGACACAAAAGCATGAATCACTGTCTCAAGAAATAAATGCTTATTTCTTTAACTTTCTATTCATCAAAGATTCCTAGGGAAAAAAACACTATCACAGTTTCCACAATAATAGTAAGCAGCGCATTTGCTTTGAACATTGATAATATAAAAAATGTTTCTTAAGCACCACATCAGAATATTAGAATGATTTATGAACGATCATTTGTGGCTAAAGACTGAAGTAACGGTGCTGCTGAAAGTTCAGTTTTACCACAACAGGAAAAAAATACATTTTAAAATATATTCAAATAGAAAAGTAATATTTAAATTCTAATAATATTTCACAGTATTACTGATCAAATAAATGCAGCCTTGGTGAGCATAAGAGACTTTTTCAAATGTTAAAAAACCTTTTGAACAGCAGGGTAAATTGAACCATTGAATTACATGATTTTAAAATAAATAATAATAATAAAAACAGTATGTTTTGTAATTTACATTCTGCTGAGGGTTCATGAATAAGGCCCAATAACTTTAATTTATATTGACTTATTCACAAAATGTTGTTATCCAGCAATGGGCGATAACCAGGAGACAGAGGCAGAGAAGAACTACCAAGACATCATCTTGAGAAAGAAGCTGTTGAACATAGCTGGAGCACAATCTGAAGAGATACTCACACTGCAAGCGGAGGTTGAGAAACTGCGTATGAAGAACTTCCCATCTCTTTCTCAACTAAACTACAACTGATTCCGGATACATAAAAGAGATTTATTATAACAGCTTTTGGTTGAAAATTTTTATTATTCCAATACATAGATGTGACATGAGAACACAAGAAAAATGTGTAATAATTAACAAGAAAGTTTAATAAACCTAACAAAATTCACAATGTCTTTTATCGGTTCCACATGTAATCTGAATAATCTGAATGTACTGATGAACGACCTTTTCTGAAAAGGCTTCTTACAACCCATTTAAATATTATCAATAAAATAATACAATACAATGAATTTCAGTTGTCTGTGAAGTCTTCCTCTGTCCTGTCAAAGTGCAGTATCTTGTCATCTAACCCCAAACTGTCTATAAGCTGAGAAAGACTGACTTGTTTTCCCTCTGAGGGTAATTCACTCTGTAATTCACACAGCACAGACTGAGCACAGGATCTCCATTTGTCTATGAGTCTCTGTAGCTGGGTCAGGTCATTCTATGAGAAAAGACAAAGCAAAGAAAGAAAAACTTCTAGAACATCATCCTTTGGCAATACTTGACTTAGAAATAGATGTTTACCTTTGTTCTATACATCTTGGCCATCTTTAATCTTCGCAAGGTTTCTGATTTCTCCTTCACTGCTTTTCTTAGCTCTTCACATTGCTGAATCGAGTGTTTTTGTGCAGGCTCAGCTGTGTGATGTGAACAGTCTCTTTGCTCTCTCATATCATTCCGATGGACATCAGTATCGGTCTCTCTGTCGTCGGTCACACTGTCTCCCGGTTGTGAGGTCTGTGGTTGACTGTCATCTTCTATTTTAAGGCGTTTAACCACACTGAGGGGGGATCTGAATGAGTGGCGTGATCTTTTTAACTTCTCCTTCAGTGAGGAACTCATGGGCTAAAGGAAAAATGTCAACAAAATATTAACAATGCTCGTGTGATTCTAGACAGTGATTATGTTTTTGTGAAAAACAAGCCCTTCACATGTTTGAACGTGGTCTACGTGATTTAACGTTACTCTTTGCTAATGTTAAGCATCATCTGAAAATATTAGATATCAAAAAGGCAATAAGATGTACCTTGTTAGCGCTTGACCTGCTTGAAGAAGAAGTCTGAGATGTATTTGGTGTATTTTCATTAGCTGGTGTCAGTTTTATCGGAGTTGTCTCCATGATTCACACCACATAAGGTCGCTATGAAGAGGCGAAAACGGCTACATAACTCTAAAGTGAACAGGGTACTATTCACGTTTCTTCTGGCGTAAATATACAATCGGAAGCAACTCTAAGTAAATATGATCTTTACAGCTGTAAAGTTATCAGTAGACACTGATGTTTTGAAATTGGTGCAAGATCCACTTATTTCATCGTCATTTCCGGGACGTCTATACGTCATTGTCATCATGAATCATGGGAAACGTAGTCTATAAAGAACTGTTTTCTAATTTATTAGAGGTAATTTATGAATAGAATAGAATAGAATAGAATAGAATAGTTGTAAGTTTAATAATATGCTTTGTAAGTTATTAAAATAATATAATTATATTTGTATATTTTTGTAGTCCATTTTTACCAGATAATATGTTGCACCATTCACAGTTAGGACTTAGACAAAAATGACAATATGAACAAATTAATAAACGCATATTACCTTAAATTAACTGTGTAGGTAGACAACATGGTTGAAGGAGACATTTTGAAGAAAAACTGTATTATAAAAAATACATAATTGGTTAAAACTTAGAATGCAGCACCTTTATTATTTTTAAATCACAAAATAACACAGAAAAAAGGTTAACAGATATTGACTATATATATATATATATATATATATATATATATACACACACACACATATCTGTTATATATCTATGTAGCTATATCAATTAAAAAGTATGGATGTCAATATACATAAAGAATAACATATGATAGATCTAAACATATTTCTTCAGTCTTCTTGTCTCGTGCAGTTGAAAGAGACTAATAGGATTCCAAAGCTGAACCAGAGGTGAAATTGGTGACACGGTTTGAATTAACCCATATTTAAAAATCAAAAAGAAGGATGTTGAAATAATTGAATCAAACTCTGAATCATTATAGTGATGAATCCATTAATTATGTAGCTTATATAACAAACACATAGGCCTACTCAGTAAGCATCTTGTGCAAAACCACTGCAAAAACAGAAGGAAAAAAAACTCTCTTTTCAAATTAAGATGATTATATTGGTGGTTCAGTTCATTCATGTTCATTTTTTTTTTCAAACAACTCCATTACTCTTCTGCTTCTACTGGAAATCTTCTCTGCCTCGTTATAACTTGTCTATGAAGTTAAAATTGTTTAATAGCTGTATAGTCATGCAACCATGCCTTCTCACGTTTCTAAGATTTGTATGGGGTCTAATGCAGTGAAGGATACATATGGGCTGGAGTTAAAAATTTTGTGACTAATGTGCATTTTATATCAACAGGGTGTGCCCACTGGGAAAAAATGAATCCATAGAAAATGGCATGTAAATCCCAAGGAAAGCAACACCCTTTTCCAGCGGAAAACTTGTATGTGCATGAATTCCTTTTAGAACATTTGCATTGTTCTTTGATCCAGCTGTCTTCAGATTATAATGAGTAATAAAATTACTTAATATGTATCACATAGGATTGGCTAAAATGGTATCAATTAACACTAATGCATAAAACTGTAAGGATGAGTACTAGTTAAACTCTTGCTGGTAATGAAAGCCGGACATATCCTCGTTTGACCCCATTTCATACAAATGTTCTGTCAGTAATCAGCTGACACATTCAGCTAAAGTAAAATTAGTCATGTTCCTACAGTTTATTTAAAGATGCATGCTTTTTTGTGGTGATTTGAAAGGTGTTTAAACATGATTTAATTCCGAGAAAATGTACGAGCTTATCAAATGGGGCGGTACCCTCGCTTTAAGCGTACTAATAATATGTACACTTTATGTACTAATATGTACTTTTAAAGTAATATGTACCTTTAATATGTACCGCTTTTCTACAAGTGACAGCTTCGTACCTTTTTTCCTGAGAATGTATATCTTGAATGCAATGTATGTTGCTCATAAAGCACTTCTGTAGTGTATTTTAATACGAGCCGAAGCATGAGCTCTTCTAGACGAAGCATTAAGTGTTTATGACCTAACATGGAACTTTATTTTACAATGGCTTAAAAAATGTATTCTAAAAATATTTTATATTAATTGCTTCAAGCTGAACAAAATGCATTTTCTGCCATGATTTTGCTGCTATGTCAACAGTAGTAGATTAAACTTTTTTTCTGCATGTGTCAGTTTAGGCGAAGTTACTGACGCACAGATAACGCATCCAGCCACACCTGTGTTCACCTGAACATGTCCTAAAGTTTTAGTTTGCTGGAACATAAAGGATAAAACTGTGATTCCCGAGGGTATTGTCTTCTTTAAAAGTCTGTCTGTGTACCTGCCAAAAGACAGGGGAGGGGCTCGGTATAAAATCCTACCCAGAAGTCCTGTTGAAACTTGCCGGTCAGAAGAGAGAAAATCAGAAAGAAAACAGCAGAAGTCAGGTAACAACATTCATACTGCACAGGTGAAGTTCACAGGCAACTCTTAAGTGGACTTTATCTAAAATCCCTTTCTCTTCAGATTTTCAAGGATCAAAGGTAGAACATTTTATTAATGATTTTGCTTTCAAACTTTTATCCTTTTTTCTTACACAAAAAGAGCAACTATAAATTATTTGCAGTAGCCTACATTTGTGCTTCAGTTAGAATATATA